AATTGATCCCTTTACTGTTATGTAATGGCCTTCTTTGTCTCTTTTGATCTTTGTTGGTTTAAAGTCCGTTTTATCAGAGACTAGGATTGCAACCCCTGCTTTTTTTTTGTTTTCCATTTGCTTGGTAGATCTTCCTCCATCCCTTTATTTTGAGCCTATGTGTCTTCTCTGCACATGAGATGGGTCTCCTGAATGCAGCACACTGATGGGTCTTGACTCGTTATCCAATTTGCCAGTCTGTGTCTTTTAATTGGAGCATTTAGCCCGTTTACAGTTAAGGTTACTATTGTTATGTGTGAATTCGATCCTGTCATTATGATGTTAGCTGGTTATCTTGCTCATTAGTTGATGCAGTTTCTTCCTAGCATGGATGGTCTTTACAATTTGGCATGTGTTTGCAGTGGCTAGTACCAGTTGTTCCTTTCCATGTTTAGTGCTTCCTTCAGGAGCTCTTGCAAGGCAGGCCTGGTGGTGACAGAATGTCTCAGCATTTGCTTGTCTGTAAAGGATTTTATTTCTTCTTCACTTATGAAGCTTAGTTTGGCTGGATATGAAATTCTGGGTTGAAAAGACTTTTCTTTAAGAATGCTGAATATTGGCCCCCACTCTCTTCTGGCTTATAGAGTTTCTGCCGAGAGATCCACTGTTAGTCTGATGGGCTTCCCTTTGTGGGTAACCTGACCTTCATCCTGGCTGCCCTTAACATTTTTTCCTTCATTTGAACTTTGGTGAATCTGACAATTTTGTGTCTTGGAGTTGCTCTTCTCGAGGAGTATCTTTGTGGAGTTCTCCATATTTCCTGAATTTGAATATTGGCCTGCCTTACTAGGTTGAGGAAGTTCTCCTGGATAGTATCCTGAAGAGTGTTTTCCAACTTGGTTCAATTCTCCCTGTCGCTTTCAGGTACACCAATCAGATGTAGATTTGGTCTTTTCACATAGTCCCATGTTTCTTGGAGGCTTTGTTCATTTCTTTTTACTCTTTTTTCTCTAAACTTCTCTTCTCACTTCATTTCATTCATTTGATCTTCAGTCACTGATACCCTTTCTTCCACTTGATCGAATCGGCTACTGAAGCTTGTGCATGCATCATGTAGTTCTCATGCCATGGTTTTCAGCTCCATCACGTCATTTAAGGTCTTCTCTCTGCTGTTTATTCTAGTTAGCCATTCATCTAATCTTTTTTCAAGGTTTTTAGCTTCTTTGCGATGGGTTCGAACATCCTCCTTTAGCTTGGAGAAGTTTGTTATTACCGATCATCTGAAGTGTACTTCCGTCAACTCTTCAAAGTCATTCTCCGTCCAACTTTGTTCCATTGCTGGCGAGGAGCTGCATTCCTTTGGAGGAGAAGAGGTGCTCTGATTTTTAGAATTTTCAGCTCTTCTGCTCTGGTTTCTCCCTATCTTTGTGGTTCTATCTACCTTTGGTCTTTGATGATTGTGACATATAGATGGGGTTTTGGTGTGAATATCCTTTCTGTTTGTTAGTTTTCCTTCTAACAGTCAGGACCCTCAGCTGCAGGTCTGTTGGAGTTTGTTGGAGGTCCACTCCAGACCCTGTTTGCCTGGGTATCACCAGCGCAGGCTGCAGAACAGCATATATTGCAGAACAGCAAATGTTGCTGACTGATCCTTCCTCTGGAAGCTTCGTCTCAGAGGGGCACCTGGCTGTATGAGGTGCCAGTCAGTCCCTACTAGGAGGTGCCTCCCACTTATGCTACTCAGGGGTCAGGGACCCACTTGAGAAGGCAGTCTGTCCATTCTCAGATCTCAAACTCCATACTGGGAGAACCACTACTCTCTTCAAAGCTGTCAGACAGGGATGTTTAGGTCTGCAGAAGTTTCTGCTGCCTTTTGTTCAGCTATGCCCTGCCCCCAGAAGGTGAGTCTACAGAGGCAGCCAGGCCTCCTTGAGCTGCATTGGGCTCCACCCAGTTCGAGCTTCCTGGTTGCTTTGTTTATCTACTCAAGCCTCAGCAATGGTAGACGCCCCTCCTCCAGCCTCGCTGCTACCTTGAAGTTTGATCTCAAACTGCTGTGCAAGCAGTGAGCGAGGCTCCATGGGTGTAGGACCCTCCGAATCAGGCACAGGATATAATCTCTGGTGTGCTGTTTGCTAAGATGATTAGAAAGGCACAGTATTAGGGTGGAAGTGTCCTGATTTTCCAGGTACTATCTGTCTTGGCTTCCCTTGGCTAGGAAAGGGAATTCCCTGACCCCTTGTGCTTCCCGGGTGAGGTGATGCCCCACCCTGCTTCAGCTCACACTCCGTTGGCTGCACCCACTGTCCAACAAGTGCCAGTGAGATGAACTCAGTACTTCAGTTGGAAATGCAGAAATCACCCATCTTCTGCATCACTCATGCTGGGAGCTGTAGATTGGAACTGTTCTATTCAGCCATCTTGGAACCAAGTCCTCAAAGCCAAATTTTTTATTATACAGTTAGACATTTGGATAACTTGTAAACATAGATTCTTATGCTATAATATAATTTTCTTTCTTTTTTTTTTTTCCATAGGGCATAACTTGAGTGTTTATCCTAATTTTGATGTTCCAGTGACAAGTCCTACAATAATGAATCTAAAAGAGAAAGAAGATAACTGTATGGTAAATGGCAATTTATCTTTTAGGGAAGACCTTGTCTTGTCTACCATAAAACCATCCCAAATGGATTCTGATGAAGAAGTTATAAAGTGTCCAGAGCTGGCTGAGAATGTGGCCACACAAAAGCATATGGATGTGTGCTCTGAATCTCAGGTGTATATAACAATTGGTGAATTTCAAAACAAAACAGGTGTGCCTGAGGATGAATGTTGGACTGGCCAAACATCTGATGCTGGGACACATCCAATGGCAGATGTGGATACTTCTAGAAGGAGTCCAGGCCCAGAGGATGGACAGGCCCCAGTGCTGACCTACATTGATGTAAAATCTAGCAATAAAAACCCCTCCAGAGCTGAACCCCTGGTGGCCTTCAATGCTCAGCATGAGAACAGGAGCTCTAGAGATAAGTATGGATTAGACAGGACTGGGCCAAGCAAAGTGGTAGTAGGTGGAAGTCACCAAAATGCCATCTCTTCAGACAAAACAACTCTCTATGAATTAAGTACTCTAGGAAAGGGAATAGATCAAGAGGGGAAGATGGTGCTGCTAAGCTTGAAACTCACCCCCTCTGAGCCCTGTGATACACTAAATTCTACTGTGAGGGAGCCCTTAGATATTAGGTCTTCCCTAAAGGACTCTCACACAGAAGAACAGGAGGAACTCTCAGTGCTATCTGGGGTCATCAAGAGATCTTCATCCATCATATCGGATTCAGGCATTGAGAGTGAGCCAAGCTCCGTTGCCTGGTCGGAGGCCCGAAGCAGGGCTCTGGAGTTGCCCAGTGATCGGGAAGTCTTGCACCCATTTGTTCGAAGACATGCCCTCCACCGGAACTCCCTAGAGGGTGGGCACACAGAAAGTAACACGAGTTTGCCAAGTGGCATCCAGGCTTCTCTCACCTCCATTAGCTCTTTACCTTTTGAGGAGGATGAGCGGGAGGTGGCACTCACTAAGTTAACCAAGTCTGTATCTGCTCCCCATATCAGTAGCCCAGAGGAGGCTGCTGAAGATGCAGACACCAAGCAGCAAGGTGGAAGTTTTGCTGAACCTTCAGATATGCACAGCAAGAGCCAAGGTTCCCCAGGACCTCGCTCTCAACTTTCTGGTGACTCTGGAACACAGGATGCTGGAGAGGACCATCCCCTGGTAGAGATAGTTTTAGATGCTGACAACCAGCAGGGCCCTGGATACATAGACATTCCCAAAGGGAAAGGGAAGCAGTTTGATGATCAAGGACACTGCCTTCCTGATGGCAGGACTGAGAACACTCCAGGTGTTGAAACCAAAGGTCTTAATTTAAAAATACCACGTGTCATAGCACTTGAAAACCCCAGGACCAGATCTCTTCCTAGAGCACTTGTGGAAACCCCAAAGGGCATACCTAAAGACTTGAATGTGGGTCAGCCAGCTCTTTCCAACAGTGGCATCTCAGAGGTTGAGGGTCTCTCTCAACATCAGGTGCCTGAATTGAGCTATACATCAGCTGCTGATGCCATCAACATGAACTCAACAGGCCAGCAAAGCCAAAGCGGTTCACCTTGCATTATGGATGACACAGCATTTAATAGAGGAGTGAATGCCTTCCCGGAGGCTAAACATAAAGCAGGCACTGTGTGCCCCACTGTGACCCATTCCATTCATTCCCAGGTTTTGAAAAACCAAGAGCTGAAGGCAGGCACTTCCATCATGGGGTCCCATCTGACCTCTGCAGAGACCTTCACTCTGGACAGTCTGAAGGCTGTGGAGGTTGTGAACTTATCTGTGTCTTGCACTGCCACCTGTCTCCCTTTCTCATCTGTGCCCAAGGAGACCCCTGCCAGGGCTGGATTCTCTTCCAAACAGACCCTGTTTCCCATCACCCATCAGCCTTTGGGATCCTTTGGAGTTGTTTCTACCCATTCCAGCACGTTGGATGAGGAAGTCAGTGAAAGGATGTTTAGGTAAGCTGGCTGATGGGCTTACCTTTCCCACAACAGTCTTTTAAATTTTTCCACATATTTCTCCATTTCATGCATACTATTTCAAAATTTAGATATCTGTGATTTTCTGATTTAAATGAGGTAATATATCATATTATAGATAATATATCATATATTTAATTCATATTATATGAATTAAAAATGCAGAATGCTGTAAGGAAGTAAAAATGGTCAATAAGTCTACCTCCAAATGTAACCACGGTGTATATTCTTCTGCATTTTTTCTATGTGAATCTATATCTATTTATGCTTTTTATACAAAAATGAGACCATTCTGTATAAATGGCAATTGTAAATGTTTAATTTAATAATATATTAGAAATATCTATGTTTGCATCATCATTTTAATAATTACACAACATTCTGTTGCATGAATATACCATGATTTGTTAACCAAATTCTTTACAAATGAACCTTGAAATTTTAACTATTGATTGATTGATTGATTGATTGATTGAGACAGAGTCTCGCTCTGTCACCAGGCTGGAGTGCAGTGGCTCAATCTTGGCTCACTACAACCTCCACCTCCTGGGTTCAAGTAATTCTCCTGCCTCAGCCTCCCAAGTAGCTGGGACTACAGGCACCCACCACCACGCCCAGCTAATTTTTGTACTTTTCGTAGAGATGGGGTTTTACCATGTTGGTCAGGATGGTCTCGACCTCTTGACCTCTTGATCTGCCCGCCTGGGCCTCTCAAAGAGCTGGGATTACAGGCATGAGCCACCGCACCCCGCCAATTTTGTTCAGTTTTTATTATGAATATTATAACTCTCTTATGAATATCATTGTACCTCTACCTTTTCATATTTTGAAAGGGGAGTTCCTTAAGAGCCTTTGAGGAATACAATTCTTCATCAGATTTGACTCCCAAACACCCTTTAACATTGTGGGGCTTTTAAGTTTACCTTTGTAATGCCAGAATTCATTTCTTCATCCTTGTATTGGGCTTGTATTCACAATGTTCTCCCATCTGTAAACTGTATATCTGATTATGTATATAATAGAATCACTTTATCAAAACATCCCATCTTCTTTACCCTTCTGCAAAATGCTAAAGAGTTACATATTAATGGTGTCTCCAAAAGAAATTGCCACAGGCAGGTAAACATTGTTTTTTTTGTTTTATAAAGAATATTAAATACCTATCATATGGTACTTGTCATTAATTCAGTGAGTACACAGCAGACATAGCAGATGCTGTCCAGTACCTGCCTGGCCAGGGGTTCCCTTGCTTTTATTGTATCTGCAGTCTAACGGAGAGACAGACACATGAGAAAAGTAGATGAGGGCAGTGACTGGGTAAATATGATGTTTCATGTGTGCATGGTGAAGCCAGAAGGAAAAGCACCTAATTTGGCTTGGGGAAATGAGTGTGAATAGGGATAGTGGCCAGGCAAAGCTTCCTAAAGAAGATGGCATCTACTCTGAGAAGAAAGTATAAGAGACAATGATGATGATGATGATGATGATGATGAGGCTAATAACAGATAATAACAAGAAATAGTAAGTGTCAAATTTGAGATTCTGACCTTGGCAGTCTGACTCCAGGGTCCAGTCCCTTAACCATCGTCTTGCCAGGTAACCAAAGAGCATCATAGCCAAGTGAGACAGGCATTTCAGGCACACAGGCCCTCGTGCACCAAGGCATCTAAGTAAAGCCAAGACATGTAGTTCATGCAGAAAATGATAAGAAATGTGTTATTTATGGAGGCTGGGAGTGGTGAGGAGTGATGCTGGAGAAGCAGGGGAAGGCCAAGCCATGGTGGGCCTGGGTGTCAATCAAGTCAAGAAGCTTTCACTTTTTAAAGATTGCATGGGGCCTTGGAGCTGGGTAGAATCTTTGATATCCTGTCATTCTGTCTCCTGTTCAATGCAGGAATCACATAAGCATCTGCAGAACCAAAACCCATAGAGGCTTTGGTTTTCATAGAGTGCTTTCCTGCCTCCTTGTTCAGAACAAAGCTTCACTCACTAGTATGTCCCCTGGGGGCTCAAGTCAGCGATTGCCACTCAGCAGGCACTTTGCCTGTGGGTGCTCAGCCCTCCTACATACCAGCCCAGCTCATTTCCTGTTCAACATGAAACACACAGCTTGGCTTGTGATTAATTAGTGTATTCTCCAGTTTTTATCAGGCCAAAGAAAAATTTAAAAAAGAACTGAAGATTGAAGGATTTCTGTACAGTGACTTAACTGTACTAGCTTCTGATATACCATATTTCCCACCAGAGGAAGAGGAAGAAAATTTGGAAGATGGAATTCACCTGGTTGTCTGTGTCCATGGCCTGGATGGTGAGTTCTAAAACAAGTTTTCTTCCCAAATTCTGTCATATATACAACTTATAATATTTATGCATTAATTTAGATGAGACATTCATTCAACAGAATGTTCTATTAGCAACTATGGAATGATAGTAATTACGATGAATCTAAGGAAGTGATATGGCCTTGCTCTTAAAGAAAATATCTCTCTGTCCCAAAAAATCTGTTAACTAAATAAAATACATGAATGAATGAATAAATGTAGTGAAGGAGTGAATGGGATAAATCAATACATACATAAATGGAATAAATGATTCATAGAATAAGTGTACAAAGTAAAAGAATGAATGGAGTGAATGAATTAATGAAATTAATATATTATGGGAATGAATATGTTAATGAAATGCATGAACACAGTAATTTGAACCCATGAATTCATGGAATTCATGAGTCAATACAATGGTCTGAATAAAGGAAGAAATGGAGAGGAATGAATACATGTATTCATTTTGAGGAGCTCAGGTTAGTGGCCCAAACATTTTGCTACCTACTTTTATTTGCCTCCCACTTATAGAACACTTTTTCTATACCAGGGACTTTGCTAGGTTCTGGGATCTGCAGGAACAAAACAAACTTTCTCACTCATCAACTCAATGTCATGCATGACCAGTCTGTACCTCTCGTGTGTATGACACTAAAGTAAAATAAGATAAGACTTTCAATATATTTGTTAAAATAAGACATCTGATCAGGCTATAGGCAATTTTTTCCATCATGCACGTGAAAGATGAGGAATGTGATAAAGATAGAGAGGCTTCACCCATTTTGTACTGTCAGAAAATGGAGCCGTGGATCACATTATCAACTGGGCAACAAGTCATGAAAACCACAACCGATACCAAGCACAGGGTGCTTTGGAAGATGAGTTCTCTACTTCAAGGTGCATCTGCCTAAACTCTGCAGAATTTTCAGGATCCACTTGTTCAAATTCAATTTCCAAGGGCTTATGTGTATTAACAGAGAGCTGAGCACGTTGATAACAGTTATGAATATTGACACAACTCTTCATGTTGTACAAAAAACTCAAGATTTGTATTCTTATAAATGTTCTCAGTTTATTAAGAACACCATATTAAATCATATTTTCGGAGACAGTTGTAAGTTGCAGAAAGTTCTCTTTCCCTCAGTAGCTGAAGGAGAGGGGGCCATTTCCACCCCTTGCTTAACACTTTATGCTGAATATAAACACTTGCAGCTTTTGTTTTCCTAAGGCAGGCCCTGGCATATCATTAGGGAGCTTCAAACAATAGCAACAGTGGAACCAAAGAGCCTAATTTTACTGACAAAAATGAAAGAGGGAATGAACAATAATTAACATCATAACACAAAATGCAGAGATTTCCTTTAAAAAATGACCATTTTATGACTGTGACCCTGCAAGTTTGGGCATGTACTCTGACAGGCCACCAACATGGGTGGTGTTTGGGCATATCTGAGTCATCCTTAAGCATCAGGGACAACCCCGAACACCTGGACTTCCCCCAATTCCACGTGGCACGTTCACCCTCCTTTGAATCATTGGGTAGTTTCATAAAGAATGATATTTTCACTCACAGTTTACAGACTATTTTGGAAATATGACCTGTGGGGCATATTTACATGGTAAAGTAAGTGATTTATATATCTAAATAACCAGCTTCTAGCTTTCAACTCTACAGGGAACTTATTTATTTATTTATTTATTTATATTTTTTTGAGGTGGAGTCTTGCTCTGTCCCCCAGGCTGTAGTGCAGTGGCACGATCTCGGCTCCCTAAAAGCTCCGCCTCCCGGGTTCACGCTACTTTCCTACCTCAGCCTCCCAAGTAGCTGGGACTACAGGCTCCCGCCACCACACCCAGCTATTTTTTTGTATTTTTAGTAGCGACGAGATTTCACCATGTTAGCCAGGATGGTTTTGATCTGACCTGGTGATCCACCTGCCTTGGCCTCCCAAAGTGCTGGGATTACAGGTGTGAGCCACCACTGCTGGCCTCTACAGGGAACTTTCAAGAAATAGGACAAACATTTATTAAGACATAATTGAACCCGTACGACCAACATTAAATTTATGCGTCACTATACTTGCATATAAACCTTATTCTGTTGTATTAAATCCATTTTTTTCACATGACTTTTATTTTGGGAATGCATTTCCTGTATTCTTCGTGCCTTGATAGCCTTGCATTCTTAACCTTTCATCCCTCTGCCCCGATGCTCACTGCTGTGCCTCCATAGAGCTTGCTTTGCTGTGACTCTTGTTCCCAAGAGACAGTCCTAGTCTATTTAGATCACTGTGCCATGATTGGCCAATTGGAAGGTAGGGGGAGGCTTGAAGATTACCTGTAAATGGCAGTACTAGATAGTCTTCTATTAAGCAAGTAACTGAAGACGGGGCTGGTAGGGGTCCCACTGTGCCCCATCAGCCATGCGAAAGAACCACTTGCAAAATGGGATTTGTTGTGGAAGAAGGGGAGGCGGTGTACCTCCCACCATTCCTGCATGCAGTGTTCACAAGTCACATGCTCACAGATCAGAGATAACTCTATCGAGGTGGGACTGCTAGAAAGGACCAGACTCTGAGTGTGGGGGCCCGAGGGGTGGCAGGAGAGCTGGGATTGTAGCTGTTTTAGTTGTTTATATTAACTACTTAACCAAAACTGAGAAAACCCAGTAGAAATGGGGGAAGAGGGAGAGAGAAAGAAATTCCTCGTGTGTCAATATTTTATATAACTAACTACGGGACTGGGGTGGGGGTTATCTGTCATTTTTAGGGAACAGTGCAGACCTTCGACTGGTAAAGACTTTCATAGAACTGGGGCTCCCTGGAGGAAAACTGGACTTCCTGATGTCTGAAAAGAATCAGGTATGATGATAAAAACATCAGAACTGGAAGAACCCTGGATGCATGCTTATATGAGCCTCCTCAACACACCATGATAATTTATGGACACACACAGATAGGAGGAGACCATGAAAAGAAATGCTGGCCAGGCATTTGGATGAGTTGGAAAGAAAAGACGTGCTGTTTTATTTTGGGAGGGAGAGGAAAGGGTAAGAAATGAGAACATATGAATCAGTTGACTGGAGCCTTTGCCTTCACAGGGCATTAGGGCGGGTGGCAAGTGAGAGCATAAGTTATTTGGGTAATGACTCACTTCCCAACTGTTGGCACTCAGTTCTGCTGCCTTTACTTGGGCACCTGCTCTATGCAAAGTTGTGCACCATGCAGTACACAGAGGTATAGATGTTGAGGGAGAGAGAAGAAAATGATTTTTTGGAGCATCTGCATACTCTGTACCTGTTTCCTCATTTAACTTCATGGCAGTTCTATCACACGTTGATATCACCATCTGCTCACAGGAGAGGGGACGGAGCTTCTGGGAGTTAGGCAGGGTCCATGTCAGGCTGTCCTGGAGAGGAGGATACTATATGTGATCTCCAGGAAGATAATTCCTGTGTGCACCCAACTTTAATACATGAACAAATCTGACCCAGTGCTAAGAGAGAATGGCCAGGCGCAGTGGCTCGCACCTATAATCCCAGCACTTTGGGAAGCCGAGGCAGGCAGATTGCTTGAGCCTAGGAGTTCAGAAACAGCCTGGGCAACAAAGTGAGACCCTTTCTCTACAAAAAATACAAAAATTAGCTTGGTGTGATGGTGGGCGCCTATATTCCCAGCTACTTAGGAGGCTGAGGTGGGAGGATCACGTGAGCCCAAGGAGGTCGAGGTTGCAGTGAACTGTGATCACACCACTGCACTCCAGCATGGGTGAAAGAGCAAGGCGCTGTTTCAAAAAAAAAAAAAAAAATCAAAAAAGAAAAGAAAAGTAAAGAAAACAGGATAACCAGGCCAGTCAGAGGAGGGAGCAGGGAAATGAGTGAGCAGCACTTGCTCACTTTGTGTTTGTGATTTGTGCTAGTGAGGTTTTCTTTTCAGGGAAGATAAGAATTGTTAGCAAGAGAGAGCCAGTCAGGAAATAATCCTTCCGGGTGTGCACATCCAGCAACTCTCTGATGCAGCTTCATGGCTGCTGGGTTCAACCTGGAAACCTCAGATCTTTAGAGCTGGACCTTTACACAATTCACTTAATTGCAGGAGTTGGCCATTCAGTACTGATTATGCACACATTGTTACTTTTTGAAAGTTGTCTTGGCCGGGCACAGTGTAATCCCAGCACTTTGGGAGGCCAAGGTGGGCGGATCACGAGGTCAGGAGATCGAGACCATCCTGGCTGACATGGTGAAACTCCTCTACAAAAACACAAAAACTTAGGCAGGCACCTGTAGTCCCAGCTACTCGACAGGAGAATGGAGTGAACCCGGGAGGCGGAGGTTGCAGTGAGTCGAGATCGCACCACTGCACTCCAGCCTTTGCGACAGATCGAGACTCCGTCTCAAAAAAAAAAAAAGAAAGTTGTCTCATCAGCAGGTCCACTTTCAGTATGTATTAATATACTTTTAAACGCCTTGGTTGGGGAGTTCCTGGTATTACTTTTAAACCTACTGTGATTTCCAAAGCATAGCTCATCATGGTCAACTCAGGCATCATAATTATAGCCATTTGTTTAAATAATGTATATGTTGAATTAATATTTTATAGATGAGGAAATAGGCTCTGAAAAGTTAGAGGAAAAAAAGCAGCATCTCTCTTAGGTTACCTAATTTTTTTTTTTTTTTTTTTTTTTTTTTGAGACGGAGTCTCACTCTGTCGCCAAGGCTGGAGTGCAGTGGTGCAACTTCAGCTCACTGCAGCCTCCACCTCCTGGGTTCAAGCATTTCTCCTGCCTCAGCCTCCTGAACTACAGGCATGTGCCACCACACCCAACTAATTTTTTGTAGTTTTAGTAGAGATGGGGCTTCACCATGTAAGACAGGATGGTCTTCATCTCCTGACCTCGTAATCCACCTGCCTCGACCTTCCAAAGTGCTGTGATTACAGGCATGAGCCACCGCACCTGTCCTATTTTATCTAATTTTTAACATGGCACTAAGGAGGTAGCGACGCTATCCCCCTTTAATAAATAAGGAGACTGAGGTTTAGGTGGGAAGCAACAGGTCCAAGGCGCAGATCTTATAAGCAGAAGAGCTTATGGTTCTTTCTTATTCCAGGAAGTCTAGAGACTTAGCAGTATGCTTTATTCTCTTGCGCCTCAAAGCTCATTGGATGGCAGGTGACAGAAACTCATAAAGGTCTTCTCTTCACCACTCCTATCCCCCAACACGTACTCCTTTCTTCACTGGATGGACATTTGTGAGACATCCTGCTCACTTTTCCTAGCTCTTGGCAGCCCATGATGTTATAGGACAGCTCCACATATGAGGGACTTTTCAAACATTTTTGGATATTGGCCCCAAATCTATTTCCCTTTGACTCTAAATCATGTTTCTAAAAGTTAGCCCTTGAGGTTATATAAACCAATCTAATATATCTTCCTTGTTGCTGCCCTTCAAACATTCAAGGACATGTGTGGCGTTCCTCCTCTTCCTTTCATCTCCTGGATCCTTCCACTATCCATCCTAAGACGTGGGTGACTTTACGATCCTTCCCAAAGCTGACTGCATACTCTAAAGGCTATGCCACAGAAAGGGGAGGGCCTTTGGAGTCAGGCCTGTCTTGGTGTGAACCCTGGGTCATGTAAGGTGAACAGGCGGCCTCCCCTCCCAGAGCCTATTTCCTCCTCTGTGAAGTGGGGGCGGCAATCCCAGCGGCATGCTGACACTCCAGGCACATGGTGCGGCAGTCGGCACCACAAGCTTGCTACTTCACTGTCAGCCGCCCTCCCAGCTGAGTGTTCCTGAGCATCTCCACGTTTCTTCCTTAGAGCCCCAGCCTGTGGGTCTTTCGTCCTGAGGTCATATCTCATCCTGTAGCCCTAACATCAGAGGTAGGCACACCCCCGTAGACACCACGGTGTTTAGTGGAAGAAGACAGGCTGTGCACAGAGCCCAGCCCCCACCACAACCATACCCAACACCTGTTCCTCTCTCTTCTTCCAGATGGACACATTTGCAGATTTTGATACCATGACGGATCGGTTGTTGGATGAAATCATTCAACACATTCAGTTGTACAACCTCTCCATATCCCGAATTAGGTAAAAGGAAACCACAGGTAGTGAATGCTGGGGGAAGAGGGGGGACATTTTTGAGTGTTTGCTGTATAAAAGAAATATTATGATGCCTTCTGTATACCACTGAGCTAAGCTAACTTATGACTTTTAATAAATTATTTTTAAAGCAGAAGTAAGTACCAGGTCTGTTGTACACATTCATATCTGCCATAGTTTATGTCAGGGAGAATAAAAATTTTTGTAGTTCTGTAGAAATAGTATTGGACTTAAAACAAAAATTCCTAGGTTTGAATTCTTGTTCTAACACTCACAAGTTGAAATCTTGTTTCTTACCATGTACCAGATATAGAACCTTTTGCAAGGTTTCTAAATCTCTAAACCTCTGTTTTCTTATCTATTAAGGGGAACTAGTACTGAGATGATGTGTGAAAAAGGCCAGGCGTGGTGGCTCACGCCTGTAATCCCAGCATTTTGGGAGGCTGAGGCGGGCAGATCACGAGGTCAGGAGATAGAGACCATCCTGGCTAACATGGTGTAACCTCGTCTCTACTAAAAACACAAAAAAATTAGCCAGGCTTGGTGGTGGGTGCCTGTAGTCCCAGCTACTTGGGAGACTGAGGCAGGAGAATGGTGTGAACCCGGGAGGCAGAGCTTGCGGTGAGCCGAAATTGCACCACTGCACTCCAGCCTTGGTGACAGAGTGAGACTGCATCTCAAAAAAAAAAAAAAAAGAAAAGAAAAGAAAAGAAAAGAAAAAGCAGAATGAGTTGCCCACCCCAAAGAGAGGGTTCCAATCAGCACTGCTTTTATTCTTACACTGTACCAACTGTTTCAGTGATGACAGTGCTAGTAAGCAGCTTGCATTTTTCATGCATTCGAATATGTAGATGTAGTGCTAATCCCTTGATATGCATTATCCCATTTAGTCTTCAGATATAAAATATTACTTCTTTATTCCACAAATGAAGCCTATAGAGGTTAGATTAAAAAAAAAAAAGAATAAAAGAAAAGCTAGGTAAGGCAGCTTCATAGGCTGACACTGACTTCTTTTCTTGGCTGGTTGTATGCTCATCATGAGTAGAGGTGGGGAGGTACAGCCTCTCATATAATAGACTCTCAATAAATAAGTATTTAACTTGAGAGTAATGATGCATTGAACACGTGGGCCTGTGAGTAGGAGTATGGCTGGAGCAGAGCCTGCAGGAGGGGGTCTAACAGCATGGGCTGTGAGCAGGTGGTTCAATATATACACAGCAGGTGAAGGAGAGGATGAATGGCCTGCCAAGCAGGATAAGGACTTGGGACCTGATCCTGTGAATGACCAGGAGATTTCAATGTTCAGAGGTGCATTTCAGGAAGGACCTTCTTTTCCCCCAGGTGGAATAAAAGCAGGCTGCTCTAACAGCATGAAGCTGGCTGAAATGCCCACACTTCTCCCCTGACTGGGCACAAAGCTCCCGTTCACAAAGACCCCATCTCAGGCTTCTCATGGTCAGGGTTTGGAAACCTGATGAGGATGAGTTGGCAGTCCCCGTGCTTTTTGCCAGTGCCCCTACATTCAGTGGGAGGTGGAGGACGCTGGCCCCTGATGCTTCCAGCACTGCACTCTTGGGCACCAGTGTTCACCGTCACACTCATGGGTACCCTTTCCGTCTCTCGACAGCTTCATTGGCCATTCTCTTGGCAACATCATCATCCGATCGGTCCTCACACGGCCCCGGTTCCGGTATTACCTCAACAAACTCCACACGTTCCTGTCACTCTCTGGGCCTCACCTGGGAACCCTGTACAACAACAGCACCCTGGTTAGTACAGGTAAGACTCTTCTAGGACTCGTCATTCCTCAGAATTAATCTGGGGCCTCTGGGACCTGAAACTGGGGATAGGGGTTCTTCCAGATGAAACCCTGTGACCGTGGAGTCTTTTCCAAGCATGGCGTGGAGGGAGGAGTCCTGGCCTTAGAGGTGCGGCCCTTGTGTCTGGGGGCTGAGTGAGGTGACACTAGATGTTTTCCAGGATCCTTTCTGCCTTCAAATTTCTGTGAAAAAAAGGCAGTGTCCCTGGAGTCGTGGTTGGAAAAGATTGACAAGGCACGGCATTGTGATGAAGAGAACAGGGACTCTGAATCAGGCCACCTGCATGACAAACCTGTGGTTAAGTCCTGACCAGGACACTCGAGGAAGACTCTGGCCTAGACATTTAATCTCTGTGCTCCTCAGTCTCCCTGTCTGTAAAATGGTGGTTATGTGTGTGTGTATCTGTGTTTGTGTATATGTGTGTATACATATATGTATGTGTACAAGCATGTATACCATATATGTATGTATACACATATGTGTTATGTAGGTACATATGTGCATGTGTGTGTCATAGAATTGTTGACGAATTTCTGTGTTGAATTACACAGGGGAAGGAAATGAGGTTAACTCACATCTATGGGAGGTCAAATGTATCAGCAAGAGCTAGACAAAGAAGGACCTCGAATGACTCGCAAAGATGTTAGACTTAACCTGTAGACCTTGTAGATACTACTCACGAGATTTTAGCTGAGGAGGTGACATGGTTTGGCGTATGGAAGCCCAAGGAGGGCACTGAGTTTTACATGTAATAACAAATCATTTATTAAATCATGTTCTTAACAAATATCTCAGTAGTCCCTGATTGTTCAAACCCATTATGTGGCATTAGGGTCACCCCTGAGAAGCTTCCTTGTCCCTGTAATCCTCTAGGCCTCTGCCACTGTCCCCTGTCCTCTCCCAACACTCACATTATTTCCTCATGACCTGGTCAGTTTAGTTAGTTTGCTTTTAAGTTATTTTAGGGCATACATGTGAACATGAGTTATCCGACACATTGGCACATAACAAATGGAAGTCCTTTCCTCTGCATTCTTTTCCTCCCAAACCAAGGAAGCCATTATTTGAACAGAAACAAATTTATTAAACTATATTTCCTGCCCCCCGCCCACAGTTATAATCTTGCAACATTATATTTTTTAAAAAGAGAGACTTTACTAATAATTTCTCCAATCTAGCATATCCAGAGTAATTTTATATATTTCGTTCTATTTATCTTTGCACACACACATTGACATAGCAGTCAGTGTAATATATGTACATACCATAGCTTGCTTATTTCCTTGTATTTCTATCAGATTAATTTGCTTGTTGTGGTTACATAATCCTTACACTCATCAATGTTAGTGTTTGCTTAAGCATAGCTAAACAGATGAGTTTTGTTTTTTTTTGCTTTTTGAGAGGGAGTCTTGCTCTTATCCCCCAGGCTGGAGTGCAATGGCACAATCTTGACTCACTGCAACCTCTGCCTCCCAGGTTCAAGTGATTCTTCTGCCTCAGCCTCCGGAGTAGCTGGGATTACAGGTGCCTGCCGCCACACCTGGCTAATTTTTTAATAGAGATAGGGTTTCACCATTTTGGCCAGCCTGGTCTCGAACTCCTGACCTCAGGTGATCCACCCACCTTGGCCTCCCAAAGCGCTGAGATTACAGGCATAAGCCACCATGTCCGGCCAACAGATGACTTGTGAAGTGAGACATTTATTCTAGCTTTACAGTATCCTAAATGTATCTGTAAGGATCATTTTTATATTCTTTTCGCATTGAAAATTATTACCCTAGGCTTCTTTTTCAGAAGGAGATTGACTGGATCGAAGAGTGTGGGTAGTTCCTTACTCCCAAGCCTGTTGTCCTCTCATTTTTGCAGGATGATTTAAGTCCTTGCCACCAGTACATGAGAGGACAAATTTACCTCTAACTTCCCAATTATTTGCTAATATGCCTACTTCTCTCTTATTTTCAAGTTAACTAAAATTCGCAGTTTAACATTCATCTCACCAAAATTCCATCCCAATTATTTTTTGTTTTCTTTTATGTTTTTGATTTTTGTTTTGTTTTTGTCTTCCTAGGCTTATGGCTCATGCAGAAACTGAAGAAATCCGGGTCTCTACTGCAGCTGACCTTCAGGGATAATGCTGATTTGCGCAAATGTTTCCTCTACCAACTAAGCCAAAAAACAGGTCAGTGGTTTCCCCCACCGCTACAGTTATGAGTTTGAGCTTGGAATTCAACTCCTGAGACACAAATGAGATATAATGCTACACTGATTCACTCACAGAAGGGCCTAGTCAGGAGGCCCAGCGCTCAAAGCCTCTTCGGCTCATTGGGAGGCCAACAGCTACCAGGAACTCAGCTCCTCTTGCCCATTGCCCATATGGCATGTGAGAGATTGAGCCAAGGTGCGTGTAAGATCATTTCAATAACCAGAAGCTGTAGATTCCGCTTTGTGCCAGTTTTTCAGTGTTCTCATTGCGTAGGCCCAAGATCTGTGTGCCAGCTTCACCCAGGTGCAGGCCCATCTACACAAAAGGCAGATGCAACATTTTCCACTGGTGTTGACTGTGCAGTGGGAGATGGGGGCATTGTCAGGCAGGCCTGCTATTGTACCTGCACCCTCTCTCTGTCACATGGAACTGCATAGAGGTGTTGAAGACTCTGCCTGCTACATGGGAATGACCACAGCGGACAGCAGTAATGGTGGTCATTGCCGAGTGGTCCCCATGTCCAGTCGGGGAGTGGAGCAGCTGACTGATTGCCCTGCTCAGTCCCACCACGCAAGCTGGCCTGGTCCAGGGTCTGTTCTTGGTCACAGTCTTCCACCGTCCTGTAAACACTGACTCTGCTGATCCCTCTGTGCCTGTGAGTCTGGTGTAGCCACAGGCTGATCTGTGAGCCCGGCTGAGTTCCTCTCCTACTTCGTGCCTCTGTGTGTTGAGTTGAGCTCTTAGAGCTATCTTCTGTGGAGGAGGAGGAGGGAGGCAGGACTTGACGGAAGAAGGTGGGACTGCAGCATGATCACCGTAGAGTCCATCAGGGGTGTAGGAAGTGGCCCTGGAGGGCGATCCTGAAGGAAGGGGAGGGGCTGGCCATTACACCTTTGTCCTCCTTGCCCGTGTATTGGCCAGCTATTGAAGTAGGCTGCCCCCAGTGTGTGATGTCTGATGAGGGGAACCACTTCAGTAAGGGACACATGGCTAAGAGCTGACAGCCACCCACCCAGCAGGATGTGGGGAATGAAAAGGATGGCCTCAGTCCAGACGGAGTGTCCGGGTGGTCTGCAGTGATCTGGAGGTTCACGATGGGCTTTGAGGCCTGGAGGGATACACTGTGATATTGAATTTGAAGGGTTCTTCTGTCTACATTGTGGGGACAGATTGCAGGAAGGCAAGACTGGCTGCAGAGAGGTGAGTTCTGAGGCTGTTTTCCTAAAGCATGGGACGTGGTGAAGGCTGGAATTAGAAGAGGTGCTGGGGTTGAGGAGGAAGAAAAGGATACTCAGACTGACGTCCTTATGAACTCCTTAATATTTCTGTCCCCAAAAGGCTTTTATGATCTCATCCTTGTTGCTTACTTCTCTGTGTCCAGAGTAGCTTTCTGTGTGTCTCCTTAGCTTTCATGGCTGATGAGAACAGGCTTCATCTCCCCTCACAAATGCAAAGCCCCTGTGTAGTGACTTCTTTTTTCAACCTCCCACAGGCCCCCACGATACCTCTGTGCCATCTGCTGTGCCTTGTTAAACCTCAGGACAGAATGTCTTTGTGCAGTGATACAACTAGTGTGTGGTGTGTCATCATTTTTTCTCTTTCTGAGACAAGTCTAGAAATTTGTGCAAATTTCCAGAGGGTGTTGAAGTTGAAACTACCTGGGTAAAAAGTACTCATCTGGCTAATTGTTACAGGGCTGCAGTATTTTAAAAATGTCGTGCTGGTTGCTTCTCCCCAAGACCGTTATGTGCCATTTCATTCAGCCAGGATCGAAATGTGTAAAACTGCCCTCAAAGACAGACACACAGGTAAGCTACGTTTAATTTTTGCTCAGGGACTTTCTGATTTGAAAAGCAAAAGTAAATTTGTGAAATTGGCTATGCCTATTGGGAACACCTGGGCTGTAGGTTTAGTGCTGCATTTATCTTAGCTTAGTGATAGGATAAACTTAGCTCATCTTGATGTTATTGTGCCAGATCCTTCCTTTGTGTAATAAACAGTTGCCTGTTTATTAGATTATGAAACTTTTGTTCAGTCTTATTGTGTGCCAGTCACTGAAATTGATGGCTAGGATGTATAATTCAATGAGACAGGCCCTGCCCTCAAGGGGCACATTGTCTAGTTGGAGCCTCGACATGTAATAGCAATGATAGTAAAATGTGATGTCAAAAAATAAAATAATGCCTAAGACATTAAGGCAGCCCAGAAGTGGAACAGGGTGTAGGACAGAGTCAGACGAGGGTCCCTGGAGATGACAATGAGTTAGGTTTTAAAGGATAGGTAGGAATTTTCCAGACAATCAAGATGGATGTAGGCTGGCATTCCTGGTTTCCTTTGGTTAATTTGTTTAATTCTTGTTTTGGTTTTTTTTTAAACATGTTTGTAGCTTTTAATTTTGAAATAATTTTATACTCAAAAAGTGTTGCAACAACAGTGCAAAAAAATTCCTGTATACATTTCACTCTGATGCCCAATATTAGCATCTTACATAAGCATTGTACAATTATCAAAATCACAAAATTAATACTGATACAATATTATTATCTAATTTACAGACCTTACCCAAATTATGTCAGTGTCCACTAATGTCCCCTTTCTCTTCTAGAATCCAATCTAGTTTGTTTATTTCTATGGCAAGTATATTGATTATTTTTTAAGTAAATAGTATTTTTGTTATATTTTAAGGTACTATAAAAAAATAGTGTACCAAAGGTCCAAAGATTTGGTGCTAATATATAATTGGGTCTATTCCAAATTTTCATTGGTATCTAGAAAATCCAACAGGAATTTTGATGAAAAAATATTTAAAAATTACTTTTAATACATAAAATAGCATTGTGTTTTATACCATCTGGTACATGTAATGAAAAGTAACACAGGGAATATTCTAAAATGATTCTTTGTCTGATTAAAATGTTATAGAATATTTGAAAAAGTCAAACTCATTACATAATTCATGATCCTTTCTAACTCCACCTCTATTACTACCTACTTTCCATGTTCTTCTTCTAGTCTCTTCATGTGTGTTCATGATAAAAGTTATAATTTTGTGTCATGATTTGATTTAGACTAATATATTTGTCCATGTTAATAAAATATCATAAATGCAAACACATTCTAATAATTATAGACTATATTTATGCATATACCATAATTTAATCAATAACTTGTTAATTACTACACGTATAGCTTGCTTCTGGAAGACTTCCTTTTCAGTTATCATGTGATGAAAGACTTTGCATGTGTAAATTTTTAATACATCTACAGTATTTCATTGAAATAGATTTCTAGTAGTGGTATTATTGGAGGAAAATGTTAATGAAGTTGCTACTCTTAACGTTTTTTGCCAAATTCTCTTCTAAAATATTGATACCAGCAACACCTGTACTGTTAGAGTATATGGGTGCCTGCCTATCTCACTCTACTGTCTCTCAGATTAAATATTAATTTAAAGATATTTGCTTATAATTTTTCAGCCTTAATTTTTAAATATTGATGCTTTTTAATGTATATTTTAATCAATTTTGAAATATTTTCTAATTACCCATGGGTCATCATTATATGCTAAGACTTGTGACAATAAACAAAGAGTTAATGAACTGGTTTTGAGTTCAGACTTGACTAAATTAAACAGCTATTGTCAAGAGACAGCCAAACTGTTTCTTTGTGCAGGGATTTGTTAATTTTCCTTACCTAATTTCTTATCTCCCTGACATAGAGAAGTATTTTTGTTGACATTTCAACCTTGGTAAAGGCTTAAGAACAGAGTTCAACAACTGTGGTCCACAAGCCAAATTCAACCCCCCTCTCATTTTGTAAATAAAGTTTTATTGAAACATAGCCACGCCCATCATTTACATATTGTATACGACTGCTTTCATGCTAGAATTCAGAATTATGTTGCGTAGTTACACTGGAATGTCCTGGAAAGCCCTAAATATTTACAGAGAAAGCCTGACAACTCCTGCTCTAGCATAGCAAATTGTATTTGTTATGTGCTGGGCACAGTTCATGCACTTTGCTTATCTTATTTAATATTCCCAATGGCCTTTAAGGAAAAGGGAGTGTATCTTCAAAGGATATTAATATACGACTTAAATTGATTAATGATCCTGTTAGTCGTCTTAAGAAAAAATCACCCTCTCTTTTGTTAAATTTATATTTTCTGTTACATTTTTACATGGGCATTAAAGAAATGTGGCTTAACTGGTGAATTAAACAGATAGGAAGACTTGATATGAAGTTTAGTTCATATGTGATTATCATTTTTTTTTCTGGAAGAAGTACCAGTATTTTTATTTTTCAAAAATTCTGAAATAAAATACCTCTCAACCTGTCTGACTTCACGTAACCTTCCAATTTATTCTCTACATTGTCATGTAGATAATTTGCTCCTATCCCAAAAGTCCATCAATTTAAAAATAGTGCTGTATTTGAGAAAAAATATGAGTCTGCTATACATGTTTAAAAATATACCAATGATGGCTTCCAGGACTTATGAAACCAATCAAGGTCTCAGCAGAAAATGATCTGGTTGAGTAATCACTACATTTTGAGTGACTTTTTTCTTTAAATAAATGACCTTCTGACCTTTATTGCATATACAATTTAAACAAATTATGGTATTTGTGTAATAATAATATGCTTCTATTTCCATTTATTGGCAATATTCATTTTTCTTGTTATTACATAATATTCACATACATCATTTAAAAAATATTATTACATAATGTTCATAAACATCATTTTAAAGGAGCGCAGAATTGTTTAGCCCACAAAGCATGGTTTACTTAACTATTCCTTTGATGCTGAATTTTGGCTGACTTGCATTTTCCCTCGGAAAGACTATTTCATGCATAAAATTTCTGTGGCGTAACCTCACATCGTATTATTGCCTATTGTAATGACCACTACTCTGAAACATTAATGGGCTCTTGGGAACGGCCATACCATTTGTTTTAACCCCAAATTCTTTTTAGCTGAATTGACATGGCTACAACCAAATCCCTAATTATTTCAATTTCATGTTTCAATTCCCTTTACCTCAAAGCTCCTACCAAGACCCTAAGAAGAGGGGGAAAAGAAACACCCCCAAATACATACCCCCGGCATAATGGGGAGTCCAGTTGTCCATCCCAGTCTCGGAAAGCAGACCTCTGAGTACTCTCCCCTGCTGATAACTGGAGGGAAAAGGAAAACGGTGTGAGTCCCTTCACGTGACATGGGGGAGTGTCCAGAGTGAGGCTGTGGACTGTTAAACTCAGAATAAGCTCTCTTTCATCTTCCAAAGTGACTGCTCTGCTGGCTTTGTAAAACAGACCCAGTTGTTTGGAATGGGTACCCAGAGGCTTATCTGACTTCCAACTTCCAATTACTGTCTCCAAGTTGGTCAAAAGTAAAATATCCCAGCTGTCAGGATCATTGCAGAAGGTGTCTGTCAATGATATAAAAGTTGTCATCAACAGTTTTTCAGACAAGAAGAACACAGGGCTAAGAGGGATGAATCGTAGATCCAGGTGTGAGAATCTATCTAGTATTCAGCGATTCAATTGCACTGCATGACTCCAAGACCCCTATGGCCTGATGCAAAATTGCAACTGTGTCACTTTCAGGTGGAAAGAGTCAATTCAGACTAACAATTGTAAAAACAAAACAAATCAACATAAAGAAAACTGCATTCTCCTTCTTTGGAATCAGAGGAGTCAGGTGAAATGCCACGTGGCTTGCATTATGCATGACAGCAGAAAATGTCTGCTTCTAACTCTCTATTGAGCTGTGTTTCCAACCCCAACGTCCCCTGAAATAGAACTTGAAACTCTGAGGGTCCTTTCTGCTGTATGCCTCCTTCTCTGCTCCCCTGCTGGGAGGCACAGCTATTATTGAGAAACACGAACACCGTTATCATAGCTTCTGGTGCATGGGTTCGCAAAGACGCTGTTCGGAATCCCCTTCTGACTTCTGGCTATTGTAATCTGACTAGACAAAGAGAACTTTGATTTTATTTCATATTTATTTCACTAACATTAGGAGGAGGTTGGAAACTGCTATATAACAGGTCTGCCCGGAAATAGAATTTCAACACACATCCGGTGATGTTCTCTAGATTCCACTGCTAACTTCTGCACTAGCTTTATGTTCTTCTTCCCTACTTTACAGGGCCAGTTTATGCAGAAATGATCAACAACCTCCTGGGCCCTCTGGTTGAAGCCAAGGACTGCACTTTAATCCGACACAACGTGTTCCACGCCCTGCCCAACACTGCCAACACCCTGATCGGCCGAGCCGCTCACATCGCTGTGCTGGATTCAGAACTTTTCCTGGAGAAGTTTTTCTTGGTGGCAGGACTCAACTACTTCAAGTAGTGGCTTTGAGGGAGCGGGTCTTTGGTAATGCTTAAGATTGGTGGAGAGCTTTAGCTGAGACCTGCTTTTACAGACCTCACCATTTCGGAATGAAACTCCAAGGGAACGGCGCTGGGGGATGGAGGCTGGGGTGGAACCTGATATGAGAGGTGCTTTTGTTTTGGAGATTTGAGAAAGCTGAGCAAATAGACTACATGACAACAAACTTTGCTTGAATTTGTGTAGTTACCTGGAGTGTCATTCAAGATGTTTTCTAGGAAAAATATGAGAAAATAAACAGAAGACTTAGGAGTCGGTGAGCTCCCCTTGCTAGCCACGAATGGCTCACTGAGCGATTACTCCAATTTAACTAGACTTGCCCAATATGTTACTAGCTTATAGCTTTATCATTTCTGACTAAGTGCACACAAGCATTTCAGAACTCAGGTTAATCTCTGTGCAGAAGTGGAACATATTTGTGTAAATAGAATCCTCAATAGATTCAAATGTGCCACTTGTTCAAGATGCCCATATTCATTTTCTCTCTTCATGTTTTCTAAACAAGGGAGCAAGGAATGCGTTACAAATCCCAGTTTTATTTCATAACAGCAGTGAGCAGGGTGACTTAAGGTAACGAGGGATAAAGGTGACACTATTGGTAAATACAAGTTTGTTACAAAGAAGCACGACTCTAGGAATATACTGAATTATGAACAGTTGCTCCACCTACTTCCCCAGACTTCTTCTATGCAGAGCCCTGATCCACTAATTATTGTAGTGATTGCTTACATCGTTGTCTGTAGTAGGGAACATTGGGTGAGACTAACCTAGCAGAAGGGGGCACTGAGATGAATGCACACACGTGTGAAGCTCCTGCTGATACACTTCCAAAGACATGCTATGTTAGCATTTGATGCAATTGCAAAAAATTAAAACCATTAACGTGGCCAGCTGCTTCTCTCCATGAAAGGAGAAACACATCTAAATGGAGGAGTGCTGGATTAAAACCTCAGGGGAGCTCTAAGAAGGGTGCTGGTTATCTTTCAATAGAAATGTCTTCTTGCCTTAGGAAAATAAAGGGCTAGGAAAGGTCACTGCGTTGATAAAAACCAGTAGACGACAGGGACAAAAGTGAGATCAGATAGGAGGAGACCAACCAGACTGAAGACTCAGCATTAACTGTTATGGGTAAGTGACTCAAAGAGGAGTTTGGAAAATCACCAGGATGCTTAATGGTCAGGTCTCAAAGACTGAGTATGTTGTATGGGCTAAAGGAAATCTAAAGAATCATTTCGTTGTATGGAAGAGATGAATGAACCTGGACAGTAGGGATAAATAAGACAGGAGCCTCATCTTTTGGAGATCAAAACTCCTGCTTCTGCAAAAATCCCTTCTGAAGTGTGGAAACACATCTAGGACTAGGGTTTTCAGCACCTGGACCGTGACTGTAGGTCACTGATGCCATGGTAACAAAACCAAGTAAATCTAAGCTCATCTGAGAATTTTGGATCCTCTTATATTAACAGCGTGACTTTGAAAAGTAAAAGCAGACCATGAGAATGGGTCCAGATGGGTAACTTTGCAGGAGTATAGACATGTTGGATTCTGTTTAAGAAAGAGAGAGTTGTTGAAGGAGAGTTGAATGTCTTGCAAAGGCAGAGTTCCACACAATGGATTTAGGGTTTCTCAGTGGGTCCTTTCTAAATGCTTGTTATATCCTGGTCATAATGCGTATGGGTTCACTGAGTCCTCTGGTCTCTTTCCACTGGGAATTTTTGTCTGAGCTCCCGAGTCAGAGCTGGGCATAGACTCTGGTTCCTCATGAGGAGTGCTGTATTTGCTCTGTAACCTGGGAGACATTTGTTCCCTAGTCATGCAACACATGATGTTGTGTTTCCTGACCTAGGCAAGTGCCCATGCTCAGTACAGAACCATAAGTTGGTAGCAGCTTCTCCTTTCTGGCCAAATGATGGGCCCTGTCCCTCTGATGAGTGCATTTCATGTTGTGTTTCCAATTTTCATCAGCAATGTTCGTCATTCCCTGGTCCTTTGAAAGACTGTGTAGCCCGTGGTTATGGAGCTGGGATGAATCTGATGATCATCATCTTCTCCAATAACCAGATGCCATTTTTAACTTCAATATGCTGTCTGGACATAGTGAGAACTAATGGCAATAAACGTCCAGCTGCATGGTGCACCTCTTTTTTATGGGGGTGCTCTGCTGTCTTTGTAAACCCTCTCTGGCCTCTGAACATCTATTATAATTGTGTAGAAAGTACATCTCTATATTGTAAATAAGAGTGTCAAGTGTTGCGTGTCATGCCTCATTTGAAAAGGCTTTTTTATGTCTCTTTCTATTGAAATATAGATATCTAATATATAAATATATATACATAAAATATATATAAATATATATTATGTAAAACAGGGACATTCTATTATTGATTGTAAAAATTATAAACAAAATGCCTGCCAAGATAATGGTCTAGTATGTCTTCATTCTCTGCGTAATTTTTGTTTTTGTTTTTATGATTTGTTGTTTCCCAAAATGAGTTAGAAATAAAAATCACCAATATTGAGATTAATTGGAATTTGTTGTTTATGAGCCAAATAAATCCAGGGAAGCAGATATGAACCCAAAGTCATCTTGGAGCAAAACAAATACCCCAATGGCATTTTGAAAGCAGAGGGAGTGCTATGAACCTGAGAGAAGGTGAAGAGAGAAAAGTCCCCTCTTGGCTTCTGCAGTTTACAGGTGTTTACTGAGCAGCTTCCATCCGTCTGTGCCAGATGGAGCACAGAGGTAAAATGCACAGTCCATGCTGATGAGGAACTCGAGGGAGATCCGGTCGTATCATTACAATGGGATATAACAAAAGCGCTAAGGAAGGCCGGGGCTGGTGCTCCTTGGTCTTAGGTATCCACTCCTTACTGCCTGGGGAAGGCCAGGAAGGAAGCGTTGAGAGTGAGACTTGAAAGGTGAGACGATTTACCTTGCACAGCCCGTCACCCCAGTGTGCACTCTTCCATTATATTATTCATTCATTCATCTGGCAAGTTTGTCTTGAGGACCTACTCTGTGCCAGGGATGCATTGGTAAAATTCAGTAGCTCACCGTCTAGCAAGGAACACAGCTGATCAAATGGGAAATCAAAGTGGGTGGCCCCATAGAAGGGGTATGATTCTGTGTGTGCTCGAGCAGGGGCATCCACTTACAGCAGGGATGTGGGGTAGAGGTGGTCAGGAAAGGCCTTTGGGAGGGTCTGGTGTCTAAGCTGGACCCGAAGGCTGAGTAGGAGCTGGCTCTGTGAAGGTGGGTTGTGTGGATCCCTCCAAGAGAGACAGAATGAGCAAAGGGCTTCAAGTGAGAGCAGAGGGCTGGGAACCTTTGGCCACTGCAAAGGTAGATGGAGAATATGTTTGAGCACAAAAGTAGCAAAATGGAGGTGTGAGAAATCAGCTGCCATGCAGGATTTTCTTCTTCTATCAGGAGGAAATTTCCATTGTTAACACTAGCAGGAAAATTCCCACTTGGCAATGAGAGCCCCTGGGAGACCAAGGCCTGCCCCTGCCATCATGTGTCGCTCCATGCTTCACCCTCTGCGAGAGATCTGATCCCTCCTGTCTTGGGAGAAGTCCAGCCACATCCTCCACCTTCATTCATTTCTGAAATTTTCCTTTGAGAAGCATAGTAGACATGTCTGCTGGGCTTCCCATGGAGAAAAACTGTAACAAATGGCATCATATAAACAGGCTAAGAAGAGGGAACAGTCATTTGGTTAATTTTTTTTTTAAAGCATGGAAGCAATCAAATTAAATTCTTATATTGGTATTTAAGGTGACCACACAAGCTGCTCTTGGATCATAAACATTTTATAGAGTAAAGAAAGTTATTCAATTCTCATCTTACAGTTAAGCAGTCTGCAGCCCGCACAAGATTGGGGTAACTTAGTTGAAACTGTAGTCCTTCCTTCGGCCACAAAGTTTCCTAATAGCCTGGCACAAGCCAGGTGTTGGTCGTAAAGCTAAAATAAAATAATCATCCCATCCTGACGGAGGATATACATGCAAGGGGAAAGTAGACAGAGAAGAGAAAGTTATAGGCCCAGTGAGTGTGGCCCAGGCCATGTCCAGAAGGAGTTTTGGGAGAAACCAATAGGGAGGTCACCCATGTAGTACATGAATGGCAAAGAACACACTATAAATAATAGCACATAACCCAGGTGTTTCCGTAAAGAAGAAAAATAGCCTTTAAAAGTGATAGGAGGTGAACAAGTGTTCAGATGTCTCTCACTGTGTAAAATGATGGCATCTCTCTCTACACACATGGCTACTGATTTGAAAGCTTGCATTCAGGTATTTGCAAGCTCCTGAATGTAATTGCCACTTTTTTTGGGGGGTGGGAGCCGTGACATTAGCTTTGGTTTCACAGCATATATTTCTGAGCATTAGAAATAACCAGGGCTACTAGGGACAGTGGTGGGGGTCCTATAAAAAATGGAAGTGTGATCATGGCAAAGGACACATAGAACAATGATTACGCTTTCTGTTAATTTTCTTGCAAGGCACCCATCCCAATATAGCATTATATGCTAGCATCTGGATCATTTGTTTTTTCAATTGTTCACTCACTTATTTGTTACATGTTTTATTGAACATCTATTTTGTGTTGGGTACCATGCTAGGAAATCATATCATCCTAAACACTAGAAGGATCTGGGGTAATGATAAAACTTAGTGTTTTACGTTTTTTTTTTTTGGACAGAGTCTTGCTCTGTCACCAGGCTGGAGTGCAGTGGCACGATCTTGGCTCACTGCAACCTCCACCTCCTGGGTTCAAATTATTCTCCTGCCTCAGCCTCCTGAGTAGCTGGGACTACACGCACACACCACCATGCCGGGCTAATTTTTCTATTTTTAGTAGAGAAGGAGTTTCACCTTGTTGCCCAGGCTGATCGCAAACTCCTGAGCTCAGGCAATCCACCCGCCTCAGTCTTCCAAAATTGTGGGATTACAGGAGTGAGCCACTGCACCCACTGTGTTTTACTTTTAACTGTTTTACTTTTAATGTGTTTTACTTTTAACTGGCGTCTGAAATATGGAGTATCAGAATTGGAAGAGGAAAAATGGACTGCTTCATTTTGACTCTATCTGATGTCTATATCCTGAACTGTGTACTTCCAGCTTCACTTGACCAGACAGGTCATATATGACAAAGCACAGTCATTATGTTGACATTATATACCATATTGTGTACACACACACACACACGCACATGTAATTTCTAAATGAAGAGAAATCATGGCAATTTTTCAAAACCTTTAAGGTGGCTTTCTCAGGATTTCTATGCTTCTTCCTCCCTTTCCTCCTTTATTTATAAATTTTACTTTTTTCTATACTTGTTTCTAGTTTGATTTTCCATGGCACCTGGGCAATTATGCATGATGTTAACTCTCAGTAGAAAACACTATGGACAATTCGGAAAAGTGGAACTCTCCCCAGCGCTTTTTATGTTGAATGGAAATAATATGGTATGCAATAATAGAGAGTTTTCAGTGCACAAACCCTGTAATAATCAATTTTAACTTTTGGGAAAAGGATCCCAGTGACTTCTGTTACACAAGAGAAAGACCAGAATATATAGAATTGAGCTTTTAGATCAAATGTAAATGTGTGGGTGTTGCTGAATAGTGTTTTGTGAATCATTAAACCAGGTTATTTCTCTACATTTGATCATAAAGACTGTGTGTATTTTTGTTTCATAGATGTAGTTTTGATTACAGGACTTTAAAAAAAGTCCTCAAACCTCAGACTTCGTGTCATCACAGAATCAGAAACTTTTACAAGTAAAACAAACAAACCTGGATTCTTGTCCATGTAACTTTTAACAAATGAAGAAGAAAAAAATGGAAATAAGCTACAGTATTCAAATTCGTTGGCTAGATTTTTGCATATATGGTTTCATTTAATCCCACACAACATATAAATGATGCTGGGAGAAGTCAAGTAACTTGCCTGCAATTACACAGTTTAGCAGTGGTAGAGTCAAGATTTGAACTTCTAGTCTTCATTTTATCTTTTATTCTATGATTTTTCCAACCCAGAGAGTTACTTAATTGTAAAAGTCACATGTCTTGTTAAAATCAAAGCCAGAGTTCAAGTCCACGTCTCCTAAACCGTAACCTTCTGAGCCTTCTATTATAATAAATTCTTGTATGAGACATCTACATAACCAATAAACAGCAAGAAACACTCAGTGACAAATGTGATTTTATAAAGCATTGTCAATAGTGTAATTGGATGAACTGTTGCATTCTTTGCTGATCATCTATGTTTCACAAGATTCTCTTTTCTCCTAGTAACCTGGAGTTCCTTTTCCAAAACCACACACCTTTCTTTCCACAGCTGTACCCGGCCATGTTCTTCCTTCCATACCTTATCTCCTTCTGCAATTCTCACGTTGCAGTGGCTGATCATATCCTTCCAGGATTCATTCCCTTTACCATAGGGTTTGAGTCTACAATAAATGGTTCCTAGATTGCAGATTCCTGCTTCTGGATGAATCTGAGCTCAGTGCCTTTTGCCATCGGAGCTAGGTTTTCTCACGTTCCCATAAGCCCATTCTTTTCTCATTTCTCATCACATTTTTATCTGTGTTCCTCCTATAGATCTCTCACATGTGAATATTTTTTCCTCAAGGGAAGAAACCATGTTTAATTCTTCCAGTACAGCTGATCCTGCACATGTTGCCTGGCACAGAGTGGGTGTTCAATATATCTTTGCTGAAAGGGTCAGTCCTTTGAAAGCTCATGTTTTCTTTCCAGCCCCTCATGTCATCCACAGCAACTGATGCTAATGCAGAGTTTGACGTTGGCTCATGTTTACTCTCTAAGCGTCTGAATTTGCAAGGGAAGAGGAGTTTCTTAAGATGTCACAGTGGAATTTTGTGTAGTGGGAAGCATCATTCTATCTTTAGGCATTAGTTTCCTTGGAAAGGCTTGGAAATACCTAATTGAAAGGTAGTTTGGGGGTGCAAACAAGGTAGGAAAAGTAGAGATCTGGAACAATGCCTTTTACAGAGTGAGCACTGAAAAGCTTGGGGAGTGGCTTGGGAATGTTTTGTAGCAAAAGGTTGATTATAGGGAGGTATCTTTGAAATAAACAAATTAAGAGATTTCTTACATGGCTTTAAAGTGATTCATACATGATGGCTTAAGGAAGATTACTTGGTTTGAAATTTTAGCCTTAAGCTTCCATCAGAACATTCCACTGTGACTCTACAAGCTTCCAGACTGGACGTTTTCAGGTCCATTCAGTGCATTATTGAATGATCTATGTCATAAAACTATTTTTCTGTTTAGGGTATATTGTACACCATTGTTGAGAGTTGAGGGAAGGCTGCAACTTGACACAGAGCCGAGAACAGTATTACATCTCATTTAAGGTGTTTGAAAGATTTAATTCTGCAAATGTCACTCAGA